GTAGACCATTCAGTACAAAAATGTTTAAAAGTATCGTACACAAATCTCCCAAATATCCAAGGCCGCAAAAATGACTCCAAGAATTTCGTTTATTCAGCAAACATAAAAAAAAAAGTTTCCCTCACTGGTATTTCCCGAATCCATTAAAAAAAGAAAAGAACGTCCGCCCCTCCACCCCAAAAGTTAACTTAAGGCAGCAGAAGTACCTCGGTATTTTCCCAAGCTTGGATATCTCAAGCAACAATTTTCCGCCGTGTCCAGGTCTGAGAAGTCTGCAGATTGAGTTACTTCCCCCGTTGAAACAAGATTACTTTCCATGTTTTAGTAATGCGTAGAGATGTGTCCCGACCAATTTCATTTACAATCAGATTTCTTTAATACGAACCCCGCTGTCTAGGCCGGTGTAAGAACAAACGGGAATAAAGAGAGAAGGGGGGGGGATAAACGAGGAGGAGGGATGATAATGATAAAAATGACGACTTGGGGCAGATGGGAGGAAGGTGATCTGGGGACCCGGTCGGGGATGTAAGAGCGAGGGAATATGTCCGGTTAACTGGGGTTGAATTTTATCTCATTAGTGAAGGTCTTGCCGACTCCTTCGTTCCCTTCAGTTTTATGCGCGAAATATTCCGGTTTTCAATTACACTTGGTGAGCAGAAACTGGGGGGGGGAAGTGGGTTGAGGTGACACACCTTGAGGTGAAGGGCACAGCGTGAGATTTAAGATGAAGGGGAGGGGTCGGAGTTAATATGAAGGGGAGGAGAGCTAAATGAAGGGAGGAGGTGGATAACTAAGTGAAGGGGGAAGAAGGGAGGCATGAAGGGACTATCCTATCTTTCACCCCATCAAGAAACACGTTATCCCCAACAGCCGTACACCACTAAACAATACGTCACTAAAACAAACAAACAAACTCACCAGTATTAAGACTCGGAGGGGGGGCTTCACTAGGCTCCTCTCGGTCACAAGTCTATCCGCCACTATCCTCGGCTTATCCATCACTATCCTCGGCTTATCCATCACTATCCTCGGCTTATCCATCACTATTCTCGGCTTATCCATCACTATTCTCGGCTTATCCATCACTATTCTCGGCTTATCCATCACTATCCACGGCTTATCCATCACTATCCTCGGCTTATCCATCACTATCCTCGGCTTATCCATCACTATCCTCGGCTTATCCATCACTATCCACGGCTTATCCATCACTATCCTCGGCTTATCCATCACTATCCTCGGCTTATCCATCACTATCCACGGCTTATCCATCACTATCGTCAGTTTATCCGTCACCATCACCGGTTTATTAACACTTATTACCGTATCGAGATTCCTTTCCTATCCATTCATCCCGACCTTCTGTTACACTACGGACACACTCTACCACCTATCACCACAACCTGTCTCATTACCACCTCACCACCCTCACCCTATACCTGACACCTCACCTCCCTACACCACCTCACCCTACCACCTCACCTCCCTACACCACCTCACCCTACCACCTAACACCTCACCTTATAAACTAATACAACACAATATATTTAGCCCCCGGACACACACTCACTCACACATACGTACATGCACACACACACTCTTACATACATACATACACTCACGCACTCATTCACAAACACACACACTCATTCATACATACACACACACTCATTCATACATACATACATACATACACACACATTCACTCATACACAGTCAGTCACTCACTCACACACACGTGCGTCCACTACCTCGGTCAAGGAGCGACTGACAACCAAAGAACATCGCTGCCTAAGGGGGGGGGGATGACACTAACCAGCAAACAACCGTAAAGGCCTTGTTTCTCTCGCTAAACGACCCTTACCCACTTCCCGACCCCCCATATTCTCCGTCAATACACCGCCGCTACTGATTATATTATTGTTATTTTTTTCATTAATTATTGTCAAGGTGGTAAATAATTTCGTTCTAAAATGTAACAAGAATAAATTACGTCTCTGGTCGATATATTTTGGATATTCATAAATTTGGAAATGGTTTGACGTTCGTATTTTGTTTTCGTTCGTGTTTTTTATACATTAATGATCGATATTTTTAGTTGATTTTAGTGTAATTTTGAAACTTATTGTTGTTTACGCGTATTTTAAACGTTATACAAAAATAAATGATTTCTCGTGGATAAAATTATTAGTTGAAATTTCGATATTTATTTATAGATATGTAGTGACTTGAGTGGTTGACGGTAAGGACAGAAGACACTAACAGACGGGTGTTGTTAAGGAAGGACAGACAGACAGACAGATAGGGAGACAAAGACATAATCGTCACTACGTTAATGAGATAAATAGACAGACACATAGACGGAAAAGCAGAGATCTTAAACAACCAATAACATATGGGAGTAATGGAGACAGAGGAATGGACGGAGACAGACAGATAAAATAGGTAGTGAACCATCCATCCGTCAGTGAGGTACAGGCGGAGGAAGAGTAAAAAACGTAGGGCTGGAGGGAGGGTAGAGGAGGAAGAGGGAGGGTAAAGGGGGGTAGAGGGAGGGAGGTGGGGGTAATGGAAGAATAAGGGGGGAAGGAGGGAGGTTAAAGGGGGGGGTAAAGAGGTAGTAGCGGCGCCCTGCTTGTTCATGTAAATTGCCAAGATTAAGACAGCTGCGGTAGGAGGTTGCTGGGTGGAGCGTGTCTCACTACACATGGTTAAAACTTGTTAACACCTCCAGCAATCTTCTCTTTATTGACAATACGATGTCTCGGTGTCTCCTGTTTACAACTACCAGCGTGTGTCGTGAGTTGCTGCTGTGTGTGTGTGTGTGTGTGTGTCGTGAGTTGCTGCTGTGTGTGTGTGTGTGTGTGTGTCGTGAGTGGCTGCTGCTGTGTGTGTGTGTGTGTGTGTCGTGAGTTGCGGCTGTGTGTGTGTGTGTGTGTGTGCGTAGCTAAAGTTGATATTTCTAGTTTTCGCCTAGGCCTACCTTCATTATGTACCTAATTCTAGTATAATAGACTTCCTAATTAACGCTATGTAGTAACCTTAAAGGAATTAGTTTCTATTGATAAAATGAAATTGCTATAAGACCGTCACGTAATAACAGAGTCGATAAATTAAAAAAAATTCCTTTGTCATATAACCGAGACAGAATGAGACCAAGACAGCCAATCAGAACCACCTTAATGCTATACGCTATTACACTGACCAATCAAAATCAATGTAATGCCAGGTTAGAAGTTAGTCAAAACCCTAGGTAGCAATAGAAGCAATTACATTTCAATTATACTCAACCAGGTAATTTAAGCAGAGACTTATACTAAAAGATAAAGTTTTATCACCTGAAGAATTTACATCTCAGTTAATTTCAGGTAAAGATTAATCACCCTGGGTTAGGTAAGCGTTAGGGTGGTTAAGCTTGAAGTAAAAATAAACTGGGATGGCGATACTTCAGGTGACCCGATGAGTTAATTAGTAATACCTGTACAGAAGTGATAATGCTTTATTTATTTTTTTTTACAATGGGTGTAAGAGAAAAAACAAAAGAAAATTAAAACTTATAAAATAAAACAAAAAGATAAATTCGTACCCCACCTTCTCTCTCTCTCCACTCTTCCGTGTGTCTTTCCACCTCCTCCTCCTACTCCTCCTCCCTTCTTCTTCTGCGCCGCCTCCTCCTCCTCGCTGCTCCCTCCTCCGTCAGTCAACCATTATTATGGGAATTACCGTGTGTAGCCCAGCACTGAACAGCTGACCTCAAAACATCGATTGAGTCTAATGGGTTCTTTTGTGCTTGTGTTAGTTCTTCCTTTGTGTTTGTTCTTTTTTTTATTATTATCAGTGTCCTTGTGTTCAGCCTTCCACGCAGGCTAGACTTTAATCATAATTTCTCTAGTATTTTTTTCTATAGTTTGGTTATAAGTTTTTAGTACCATAGATTTTGTTATTGACCAGAACATCATAACTGTAGTGTTAATGTTACATAAGTTTATGTTAATGCCACAGAATTTATTGCCAATAGTGACAATAACAAGGAATTTTGATAGTTTTTATGTGTTTAGGTATTTGTGGAGTTTATACCTTGTGTTGGTACCTCCTGGTGTGAGGTATTTGTCGCTATACAGTACATCAGTGGCTACAATTTTCACCACAAATGCAAAATTTGGTGTAAAAATCAATTAAATTGGTCAATGTTCCAAACACAGGGAAACATATTTGTGCACTTTTCTACACCTTTAAAATTTGTATGTAAATGTTATCACTTGACCTTGGTTGACCTTGGTTCAGTAAAATTCTTGATAATAAATAAAGCCCAAGACTACAAGGTGAACCAAACGTAGTAAAGTAAAGTGTTATGTCTAAGTTGTAGTTTGACAAAGTTTGTGTATTCATCAGATATCTTCATGTGATACCCAGCGCCCAGCCTCAGTGGCCAGTGGCTGTCCAGACCTGATAAGCCTTATCTCGGTCAGCTCTGGTCATGTCAATATTTCTTTTACACAAATACTTTATTCTGGCAAATAAAATAGGAGTGGTGTTGACCTCGAGAGCTGGCTACTGAGGCTGGCTGTGGGGGAGGTGGTCACTGTACTGTACATCATGGAAGCTGCTCAGTTCGGTAGGTTACAGTAAACTAAATAATGAACTTGACGGTACTTAAGTCACATGTGTTGATAAATTCTAGAGGAAATGGTTCACAAAATGTCATACTGAACCTTCAGTTATTTACATGTAGTTCAGACTGGTGTGTAAACCCTTAGTATTATTGCGTGACAGTGAACCTTAATGCACCAGTTCATTCTACTGTTCACAATGACCTGACAAATTGATCTTGTACCTGTTTCCTCCCAACTCATTAGTGAAGTAAGGTGAGGTGTTCAAGCCCCCCCCCTCCCAGATGGGAGTCACACCTGTAATTCTCTCTCCCTCCAGCAGCTTCCACCAGGCCGTGTACATGGACCTCCAAGTCTTAACTTATTAGAAGAATCATAAAAGACAATGGGTTTTATTTTCGAGGTTTATTTATCACTAATTTCCCACATACGTACAGGAAATAATGAGAACGTCTCTAACTCAGTAATATACAACAAAACACAACTGTTTTCTCTTTAACTAAATTATATATGATGTAATATACAAAGAAAGAAGTAAAATGACACTGGAAATAAAATTAATGTACAACATAAAGAGACATCTGACCGGTTTTAGATATACGGCTGTACAGTAAAGCACAACACACATTTAAGACTTAGCTTATAACTTGTAGTCATAAAAATAATAATAATAATAATAATTATAATAATGATAATGTACAACATAACACAATGGTAGCACTCGAGAAGTCTACCATAACTATTTACAACATAATAGAAGTCATATATAAATACCAGAGCTTAGTTAACACCATCATCTTCTAAAGTGGACAAAGTCATACCGATGTGGTCCATAAAATGATTACAACAATTATTATTAATGTAAAAATATAAGGAACACTCACATGGCGGCAATATCAAGAGTCATCACCCCTGCGAGATCCAAGCGCCCTACATGTACGTTTATTCTCTTATTACTATTATTATATCAGTACTAATAGTATCTCAAATATTCACATTCAAATAGGAACTTTGCGATTCATTTCAGTTATATAAATAATTTCCAAATAAAAGCGAGGAACCGTTTCATGATATATTATAGTAGTCAACTCCAGTTTGCAAAAAATCACCGACCCAACACGGTGTTTTTTCTTCTATAACAGAAACTCAAAGAGATATGATATTGTTCAGTGCCTCACATAACAAATAGGCTCACTGGTTGCTACACTCAACACAAGGAAGAAAAAACAAACAAACTGGTCTTATTAAAATATTCGTCATGAGGTGAAGGACCAGCTCCACGACTTACAATAAGGTATAGCGTTACTCATAGGGTTGTACGGAGCAGCTGCAGCCAGCGGAACTCTCACCCTTATTGACAGCCCGCCGGAACTGGCCAATCACTGCTAATGCTGAATTCACTTCACTGTGTCCGAAACTGCTGAAAAACGTTCCAACTCTAAGCTGTGAGTCAGTATGGATTCCTTACCGCGTAGTTCTCAAGCACCTAACAATCCACACATCGGCTTTGAACACCGCAAAAAAGAGTGATGTTGAAATGAATAAAAAAAAATGAAGAAAAAACCCGTGAGGCAATAAACCTGCCTTGAAAGCAAACCAGATTCGTGAACTGTAAAAACACACACACAACACGGTTTTCAGCAGTTTCGGACACACTACGGTAAACCTATTATGAGAAAAAGTGAAAGATGTCACCTGGTGTGTTGCTAGACTGATATATTCATTCTTGTGGTCTATAAAGGACAACAATTGGCGGGTCGTTCTGTAACAGGTAACGACCCTCTGGTACAAAGCCAGTTGGATGCTGGAAGGAACTGTGTGACAGACGCAGGAATAATACAAACATACAAACACACTTACACGTACAGTTAAATGGGATCAAACTAGCAATTCTGAGCCTGCATTTATCAACACAACTTATTCCCCCTTTTTAACACAAGCTCTAGGATATTATTGATCAATCTAGTGAAAACCAACACAAAAAAGATCTGTCTGTCTGTTCGTTCACCGCACGTCACTGCTGGGTACCCTCGCTCCTCTCGGTACACAAGGCTCAAAATCGCTACTATGACCTCATGATCTTGTTGGACCGGCGAGCGAAGCCTGCAACCTCGCTACCCTGACCCCCTCCACGGCTCAAACTTACCATACACGAGCCACTCTAAGAGGGGGTTGCTGGCACTGGCACAAGGGGTTCGCTCGCCCGCTACTTTGTTCGTTCGGCAAAATATGTGCGAGGTAGAGTGGGGGCATCAATGAGCGGCGGGGCTGTAGTGTTCGTTTTACTGTACCGAGACAAGCTTCGTCATCCAGCTAGGAGGTGGTGGGGGGCTCTTTAAGGCCAAGTGAAAAGCGTCAGCAAGATCTATATATATATATCCCCATGGACTGCGTTGACAAGTATCTTACTGTTGCTATCATAGAGGCGCCAGTAAGATAAGTAACCCCTCCATGGGTATGATTTTGTGTTATCTTACTGCCTTATCGTAAGAGCCAGTAAGATCAATAATCCCATGAGCTGGGATTGATATATCTTACTGGCAGGTTATTTATTTTTTAAACACCACCTCCTACAGATACATTCGTCACCTTTCAAATTCTTTTTTTAAAAATACATTCCAACCTATGGTATGTGTGTGTACCTGGACACCCACATGCCATACAATACACAATATTCCTGCGGCACAAAACGAACACTACACCTCACTCAACACTGGTCACAAGTTTACATCTGACGACCATTACTTTCCTTGGATTAAAATGTACAATATACATACAATTGCATGAGGGGGGGACACCGAACGCTTGTTATAGGTCGTATAACTTACAACTGTTGTAGTAAGTTTTAATGAATGAACTATCTCGTTTTTCCTCTCAGTTTATGAATGAAGAGGCTATAGATGGGAGATTGTGGTGGGGGGAGGGCTATTCTGAATATTGATTGAAAATATATCCGACATATTCGGATATACACATACTGGGAGGGGGGGGGGTTATTTTGAGAACTTTTTGTTTTTGTTTTGCTCTTAATACCTTCAGTTGGGTCGGTTGGATGTGGAAGACTGATGAGGAATCTATGGTCGAGTTTTGTCTGAATTCACTCGTGATTATCGGCATTATCTCAGGAACCTGTTGCTTGTGGTAGATACAAAGAGATTTTTTTTTAACACCCTAATGACCCGAATTCCTGGTCACGACTGAAGGGGATAAAAAACAACAACAGAAGTTCGAGTTTGGAAATCTGCCTTGTACTCTTACATAGTTAATTTTGTAGTTAACGATGATTCGCTCGAAGGTAAAAAGTCCCCTTAAGTAGCAACTAAGAATACTGGTCGTTTTATAAGTGAGGGTTACTTGCGTCTATAAGTGAGGAGAAGAGGTTGCACGCTAAAGCCTAGATACTGTCTATAAGCTGACCTAATGTACAAGCTAGTAGTCAATTTACAGTCATGTGATATCAACTGTATTAGTAAACGATTTTTTTAGTTAGAAATCTTGCTACTGATTGTTTTGGGTTTCGCTAAAATTAGTGAAAATAATAATTATGCGTTCTGAAACATTCATCACGTGAGTAGCATAAAAAGTGGTAGGAACATTAACTATAAGTTCAGTATACAGGATAGCGTTAATCTGGTGCGCGACAAATCTTTTTTTCTTTTTTATATTTTAGAGTTACATTCAATTCATATGCTTTGATGCGAGGTATGATAGTGTTTCACCATTAATAGGCTTTATTATACTCTATGATCTACCATCGTGACGCACAGTCCTAGAGGATTACACAAAAAAAGTACATAAAACCAGCTCTAGTGAAGCTTGTTAAGGCCTCAGACTCAGTAAGGCCTGATATCCGGAACTTTCGTAACTTTGCAAAAATGCCATCAATTAAACATCAACACATTAAGCAACAGACTTGTCTCTCCACGAGTGGGGTACAGCATGTCCGTATTCCCACCCGCGACCTGGGCTTGGGCTTGACACAGACACAGGAGTTGACAGATCGGGTCCGGACAAGCGAGAGTGAACACAGGGTGGGGCCAGCAGCAGCACACCGGCAAGCGTGACGCTGCCAGGGAGGATAAAGCGTGACAGGGCCAAGCTACACTGACGCTAGCCCCGGCCAGGCCTGCCCGGGGGCTGCTGCTGCTGCTCACTACTCCACCGGCCGGACATAATACTGCCGGGCCTCCTAGGGCGACCCTCATGGCGCAGTGAGCGTGAGCAGGTGTAGTAGTAGTGGTCCCCTGGCAGGCGTGGCCGGGGCAGGCGGGATAGGGCGGGGTAGCGTGCGGGCGGCGCTGGGTGGTGTGTGGGCGGGACGGGCAGCGGGTGCGGACATTGATGGGAGGGAGGGGGACCGCTACTCACCGGCGCCGGCCATCATGGCGTGCTGAAGGAGTGGGTGCGGCGCCCCTTGCAGCCCCCCGAGACCCATCTGCTGGTACATCTGCTGCAGGAGCTGCAGGCGACTCAGGTCGTCGGTGTTGCTGCTCCCACCAGGGCCGCCCTTCTTTTCTTCACCAGCGGCGGCACCGGCAGCAGCTGGTGGGGACCCTAGTGCCATCAGCTGCGCCATCTGCAGCTGGTGGGCCAGGCCGGCCGCGGGCGTCATAGCCGAGGGCGGCCGGTCGACGTCTCCAGACATCGAACTCAGGCTGGAGTTTAGGCCGGCCGCGTCACTCTCTTCCTTCACTTTTTCCAGGAACATTTTCATGTTTTCGATATGTGACCGCGTGAACAAGTGGTCCTGAATAGAGTACTTATGACTGTACTTAAAGTTACACACTTTGCACTCCTCAGGTGGTTTGGGAGCCTCGGGCTCCGTGCCGAGCACCTTCTGCAGAGCCAATTTGGCTTTCTTTTCCTTTGCCCGCGCATTCTGGAACCACACCTGCACCACACGCTTGGCTAGCCCTATCTCCCTCCCCAGCAACTCACACTCCGCCATCGTAGGCGTCTTATAATCCTGGAACACACTTTTCATGATCTTCACCTGGATGGACGACATCTGGGTGCGGAACCTCTTGTTGGCAGCGCCATGCTGGGCCCCAGCCTGCTTGGCGCTGCTGGTGGTTGAAGAGGCGGGCGAGGTTGGATTACTCTCATATGAGTTTAAGAGAGTGTCGCCTTCGTCGTGATCCACCACGTCCAGGTGGTAGCTCTCCTCGTCCGAGTTGTCGTCGAGGTGATCGTTGGTGCTGTCCAGCAGGGAGGAGTCAAACCCCAGCGGCCGCACAATGTCTAAGGGTTTACTGAGATCAAGTGGACTCTCACCTTCTCGCCGGGTACCGTCTGATGATAAGTTGACATCGTTGAGGTACCGCCGGATTGCCTCCTCGTGGTACATGGCTATCGAGTCTTCCGGAACTTCTGAGGAGAAGAGAGAAGAGGGCATCACTTGAGAGGCTTGAGTTGCAGAAGGAGTTGAAGACAGGCCGAAGTTCCCAACACCAGAGTCTTCTACATCAGGCAGTGCATCAATGTCCACATCTCCCTTAGAGTAATGATCCGCGTGCTTAGTGGAAAGGTGCGACTCAAGAGCAGACTTGACTTTAAAGATAGCAGGACAGAAGGGACATTTTTTGTTAATCACTTGTGCATGAGCTCTAAACTGACCTTTCCTTTCTCGCGCTCGTGTGTTCTGGAACCAAACTTGGACGACCCTCTTCTTGAGACCCACTTCCTGAGCAATGGTCTCGAGCATCTTCCGCGAAGGGTTGGCCTCCATCTGGTACTTCTGGTAGAGGTAGTCGAGCTGCTCCGGAAGGATGGTGGTGCGGAGCCGCTTATCCCTCTGGGCCTCGGTGCTCCCCACCATGCTCTCTCTCTCATCCTCGCTCTCGTCAGCTTTACGCTTCAGAGGCGAGGCTGGGGGTAAGAGGGGGCTAGGGTGGGGCTGAGGGACGGAGGTGGGCGGCTGTTGTGGCTGCTGTGGAGGCTGTGACTGCTGTTGCTGCTGCTGTATGCTAGTAAAGGGGGAATCAGCACCTTTATTTAAAAAGAGTGCTGGATTCATAAGGTGAACAATTTGGTGTTCCCGCCACTGTTCAAACCGATTAAATACCAGACTGCACTTATCACACTGGAAACTCTCGGTGGACTTGGTGTCTAGACCACCTGACTGCTGTGATGAGTCGGTGATGCTGGAGTGGTTTGAGTTCTCGTCATTGTACAGCGCTGCTGCTTGAGCTGCTGCTGCTTGTGCCTGGGCTGAGCGCTTGGCGTCTTCTTCCTTGAAACAATGAGTCTTCTGGTGTCGGATGAGCTCATAGTACCGCTGGAAGACAAGCAAGCACTTCTTACATTGGTAATTGAGGCCCGGCGTCCGCGTGAACCTGCCCGCGCCTTCGTCGTTGGGGTCGATGGGCGGCTGGTTTTCGTACACCTTCCGTGCCTTCTGGCGGGCGTTCTGGAACCACACCACAATAACACGCGGCGAGAGGTTGAGCAGCTTGGACAAGTACTCCAGATCATCGTCCTTGGGGTAGGCGTTGTTCTCGAAGAACTCTTGTAGCACCTTAATCTGGTAGTCAGTGAAGCGGGTGCGGTTGGCTCGCTTGCCTGTGTTGGAGCAGGAAGAGGTGGGAGTGTGGGGGGCAGAGAGTGGGGTTGATGGGAAGGACAGATGGGGCGGCGTGGGACTCACACCTGAGCTTGGAGGAATAAGGCCAGAACTAGGAACTGTGGGTGGTGTGTGAGGCAGCTTGTGGGCCAGCATGGGGTTGGTCTCAAGCTGGGAGGTAATGAGTGAGGTGAGTGAGAGCGACGTCTGCGGCGAAGCCAGGGAGGTGAACGGCGAGGTCGCCGGCAGCCCCAGAGGGGATGACGACGCCGACGACACCAACTGGGGTCCACTGCTCACCTGTTGTTGCTGGTGATGGTGTGACAGCAACGGTTGTATTGGCAGCTGCTCCCGCTGTTGCTGCTCCAGCGGTGGTTGTTGTTGCTGCTCCCGCTGTTGTTGTTGTTGTTGTTGTTGTTGTTGCTGCTCCCGCTGTTGTTGTTGGTGTTGGAGCTGCTGCTGGTTATTCAGACCTACTGACCCACCTAAGCCGTCCCCGTTCTTTTCTTGTACTCGGCTATTGTCTTGGTTAAGACTAGGAACTTTGTTGAGCGGGGACATGGCTGCGGCACGGTCAGGGACTGGCTCTTCTTGCTCCTTTGGGATCCGCTCGGCGACTCTCTCCTCCTCCCGAGCACTGTTGATCGCCACGATCTCGCGCGCCTCTTCTGGGTTGAGCAGCATCACCTTGGCCTCACCTGTCTTCTCGTACTCCTCCAGGTTGAGTGTGGTGGACGGTGGGATGCTAAAGTTATACGGCGAATCTTTGCTGCGTTGTCGCTCCTTGAACAGGGTGTTGCGAAACCAATGTTTGATCACCTTGGGAGGCAGTCCACTCTGTTTAGCCATCTCGTTTATCTGTTCCTCTGTGGGAGAATTGTTGATGTCGAAGTGGCCTCTTAGGATCTTGAGTTGTTCATCAGTGATGCGTGTTCGAGCTCTTTTCTGCTGGGCAGCAGCGGCGGCGGCAGCAGCAGCAGCAGCCTGTTGTTGTTGCTGCTGCTGCTGTAGGAGCTGTTGCTGTTGCTGCTTGATGAACACAGATGGGTCACCTTGGAGGCCTGAAGGCCCTGAAGTAGGTGGTCCCTGCTGCTGCATACTGGCGAGGGCCATATGGTCGAACATGTGTGGAGGCAGCATGGGCGCCAAGGGTGGGTGTAGGTTCATGGCAGCCAGAGGGTTGAGTTGTAGTGGCAACCCTGCCGCCAGACCCAACCCTGCCATCATCATGGGGTTGAACTGCATCTGCTGCATCTGGGCTGCAGTGAGAGCATTGAGTGCCGCCGCCATTTCTGCCATCTGTGGCGGCATACTCATACCCTGGTGGTCAGCAGCGGGGGAGATGGAGCAGGCGGTGGTGGAGGTGGGCGTGATCCCTGGTGTAGGCGTGGCACGAGAGGTGGGCGTGGGCGTGGCCGCGGCGTCGCTCCTGCTGCCTGACTCTGCCTCTTTCTCTCTCTCATCTGAAGTCCCCTTCTCTCCCCCCTGGACGACCTCCGCGTCCCGGCCTCGCTCCTCATCTGTAAGAGCAGAGGGATCGCTGCTAGAGCAGTGCCGACTAGTGTTGTACTCTTTACGGTACTCATCAGAGAATTTCTTAAGGTAATCAAAAGGTACACCTGACTTATGAATTTCTTCTAAGTGGGCTTTTAAAACCCATACACTAGAAAATTTTTTATAACATTGAGGACATTTGGATTTACTTAGTTCAGGCAAATTAGAAATGGATTTGTCTTTAGCGTCCTCAGAAGTCCCTTCATCAGGGTCTTTTGAAGGACTAGTCTGTTGATTTTCAACATACTGAACAACTAGATCAAAGCCAAAGCTTTCTAATAAGTGCTTGTGAAGGCGTGAAGACTTTCTGAAAGGTACAGTGAATCTAGAGGTAGAGAGAGATTCTATGGAACATTCAGATGGAGAGAGAGAGCGGTCGTGGGGCTGAGTCGGGGGCAGGTGGGTGGCGCCGCAGAGGGAGGCCCATGCGGCGTCCAGGGCGGCTGACGGACTCAAGCTGCTGCAGCTGACGTGAGGAAGGAAGGCCAGATGGGGCGGCAGAAGACCACACAGCACTGCGTGCTGTGCCCCTTGCTCAGCTGTGTTCCACACGCCGCCGCAGCGCCCGCAGCTTCCCTGGCCGCCGCTGCCACTACTACTGGAGGAGGAAATGCCCTGATGGTGCGCCCCAGGAGGGGTGCCCTGGGAGTTAGAAGGGGAGCGAGGAGTGTGGGCGTCGTGGTGTGGGGCTGGGGAGGGCTGCGGGGTGGAGGTGGGTGTGGGTGTTCGCTCGACTAGTGGGCGCAAGGGGTCATGGTGGGCGGCGGGGCCCCCGTACTCTGGGAGGCGGGAGGCACGTGTCTGATGGAGCACTGAGCGGAGGTGGATGTCCAGCGTTGACTGCTGGGAGTACGCCACGCGGCACACATGACATCTATAAGGTTTGTTCCGCTCCTCCTCCTCCCCCATCCCTACACCGCTACCCCGTGGGGGGCCGGCTTGGCCGTCCCCCTGGGGGGTTGTTCTGCCCTCAGTGCTGCCCAGCTCAGACTGGGTCTGAGTATTACTTAAGGATCCTTTGGTCTCTTTATCCTGCATAGCTTTTTTAAGCTTGTGCAAATGACTGACTGAATTATAATGTACAAGCAGAATATTTTTCTGCGTAAATGACTCTTTACAGACGTCACATTTATAAGGTCTGTTGGGGTCGAGGTATTTCTCCATGGGATAAGTGAGCTTCTCACCACGACGGTGGAGCAGCGTCTTTTGGTGAGCTGTGAGGTAACTCTGTCTGGTGAAGCCGACACGGCACCGGTGACACTTGTAGCGTCTCGCCGGGTCGCTATAGTTGTCCAGGGCCATCGTGTCCGAGTTGAGGTAGTCCTCAATAGCCTGCTGCTGTGGCGGGAGTGGCGGCTCTTCCACCACTCGCGCCACCTCCTCCACCTCGTCCCCCTTGTTGGACTCCCGACGGAGCAGGGCTGTGGTGTTGGGGTCAAGGACTGGTCCCGCCCCCGCCCCCACCGGAGTTCCGACGGTGGACGCCTGGAACTGGTTACGCTCCACCGGCGTCAGGTTGGTGTGGTCTAAACTGACGTGCTTCTGCAGTGCAGTTAACGAACGGAAGTTCCGTTGGCACAGTAGGCATTTAGTAGCGTCCCGAATGGCATGGTATTGGGAATGCAACTGCAGCTTCTCAACAGTCTTAAACGCGAGTGAGCATTGTTGACAACGGTACTTGTACACGTGTCGTTCAGACACAGCCACTGAGGGTCGGGGGGCCGCGCCGTGGATCTCCCGAAAGTGACTATGTAGCGCTTGGGCTGTGGGGAAGTAGTGGTTGCAGCCCTTCTTCCAGCATAAGTAGCCGGGGCCACGCGGGGTCTCCGTGATGGTCGTGTGGCCAGTAATCGCCTGGTGAGCTACTAGATCTTCGATAGAGACACAGGCCACCCCACACACGCCACACTCCTCCTGCTCCCGGCCCACGCTCCGCTCATCACCTCGCTTACCTGCACCACCTGATGACTGGCTCTCTTCCGGCTTCTGCTGGTACCGCTGCTGTAGCTGTTCCTGCAACCGCTGATGCTGTTCGCTCTGGTTTTGGTGATGGTCCTCCTCATCATCGCCTTTACTAGCAGCATCACTAAGTCTGACCAGCAGCAAGAGGCGCTGAAGGCCGTCAGAGTTGACGGAGTGAATATTAATGGCGTGCTTCTCCAGGGCGGACATGTCCGGACACGCCTCCTCGCACAGCGGACACCTGAGGCCCGCCTTCTTCTCACCGCCATGGTCAGCGTCTACGTGATGCTGCAGCGTCGTCTCCGACTCGCACGTGAAGTGGCAGAAGGGACACGCGTGCACGTGGTCCGGGGAGCGGCCCGTCTCATCTTTGGTCTCTTCTGGAAAAGTCAAGAAAGAGGAAGCATAGATCAGTTTAAACCATGGTGGCCCTCCCGCACCCTTAACACACTCTTCTTACCTACATATATTATCTCTGTAACATCAAAGTTATGTATTAAACTCTGCAAGAAAATATTAAAACATAAAGTGAAATTATTATAACATATGATATGTATATATTTTAATATTACTCATGAGAGACAGGAGGAGAGAGGCAAGAGTGGTGAGGAGACTGAAGTGAGTCCAAGAAAACACAAATAATTGATGTAGACATTTCGTCAAGTGATTCCAACTGTTTTAGTGTCTAGTACAAGAACCTTCACGGAAGAAAATTAATATCATCCTCATTTGTTATAATTTTATCGTTATTCATCACATAAAGGTAAACCTCGTGACAACGCCCCAGTAAACAACACGAGGTTTATACAAGTCACAACAATAAGTAATATTTCCTATACGCCCGACTCACTCACAATGTTAATACCTAACCTGAGAGTAAACTGATTCAGAAAATTAAAACAAATCATCATACATCACATAAAAGGAATATTAAATAAGTTACGGCGTAGTTTTCATCCATAGAACTGTCTGAGCCGCTGAGCGTAACGTGATGTGAAAGTGTCTACGTAGTACCTGAATATAAAGTACTCGTACGCGTCGTCTAATGGTTGAAACAGGAAGAAGAACTTGGCCAGAATTATTTTATTTTTGTTTTCATTATCCGATTCCATGTATCTTGACCAAAAGTTTAACAGTATTAGTTAGATATTATTAACTCATGATTTTCTTAGCTTTAGAAATCTATTTGAAAGTCAAATTGCACTTATTACGAATTTCACTGATATTCACTGTTCTCCCCCCCCCCCCCTTGCCTTTTCATTACCAAACGCTCAGGTACGAGGATAAACTACAGTGGAATTTATAATAAAGTAAAACACACGTAGAAATTCTCACGTAAAAAATATTAAAGCGCTTTGTGATGTCGCTACTGATGGAAGATTTCACCGCGGCGTACCTAACCTAACCTAACTCACCATGCCGGAGGTACAATATAAATACAATACGGAGTAAATAATTCTAGAGATTTGTTTAATGTTATGAGACGTGAACGAGTTAAAAAGAATTAATAGTTATAGCAGACGATTGACATTTAGACGAACTATAACCTGAAGATGTAGATAATATAATGATATACTATGTACATCTATATTCAACCCTTCATGTAAGACTCACAGGTAGAAAACGAATCCCAAACTAAATGAGTCAACAGATGAGGTAAGGACAGGTGAGTACAGGTGTGAGACAGTTTACCTTGTGCAATATAGCGGCGGGCGGTGGTCTTTACCCTCATGGTGATACACTGTTACCTGGGACGCACGATTGACACACATAAACACTATATCGGTATTCACTATCTTATCACCATTTAAAAAAAAAAAAAACCCACACTTTTCTATAAATCCAGGTGTGTGTGTGTGTGTGAATGTATGATGACAAAAGTTACTCAAGATGTAGAAGAAAAAAAAAGATTCTTCCCCCGACACAAAAAAACACTTCAGACCACCGGAGGGAACAACACTGGTCACGAAACACATCCACCTTCCTCAATTTTTTTTTTTATTATTTCCCTTTTCTCCCCTACCGCCAGCGGGTCTACCATCGACAGGTAATAATAATAATAATAAAGGAAGTTGGTTGATGGTGAGGCGTCTCCTCCTAACCACCTCTACCACCACAACGCCCAATGACACCGCCGCCCTGGCACTCTCTGGCACTGACTGACTAACACTGCCGCCGCTGCTGTTGTTGGCTTCTGGTCACTTCCTGCACTAGCTAATGACCTAAATGACATTACGTGAGCCAACTCGGGGGACCTGACTTAAGCCTGGACTATCTACGCTCATTAAGACCCAACCATCATCCCTCCCCCTCCTCTACCCAACGCCGCCGACCGGACTCCAACTGACCATCAGCCAACTGTACAAAAACCCTTCACGCCTCTCCACGCTTGAAACTTCATCCTAGTATTATTTTTTTTTTTACCAACAAACCCAACTCGATTCTGAACCCATAGTTTTTTGGTTTTACTCTCACAAAAACAAACAAAAAAAGTCCATCAAGCATACATTCTAGATGCGAGAGACGTGGGGGGGTTAAGGAGAGAGGTGGGTGGGTGGATGGGTGGGTGGGCGGCGTGAACATAACAGAGAAGAGGTGATAACATGTGGAACTGAGGCGGTGGTGGCGGCCAGCAGCCTTCCTCGTGTTGTTAGTAAGGCTTCACATACCACCTGGCCCCCACTGCCCTCATCAACACCAGGTAACAGCGCTGTCTCATGGTTCCGGGTGTAGACTGATCGTTAATACCTTGACTGACTGACTGCATGCTTGTGTGTGTGTCTACCTGTCTGCCTCCCCGTTTACCTGTCCGCCTCCCTGTATATCTGTCTACATCCCCGTCTACCTGTCCGCCTCCCCATCTACCTGTCTGTCTCTCCGTTTACCTGTCCGCCTCCCGGTATACCTATCTACATCCCCATCTACCTGTGCCTCTGTCTACCTGCTCACCTACATCCCTCTTCCCCCTGCCTTCCCACCCCACCTCCCCTCCCCTTACCCACCCACCCTTTGCACTAATATGCTACACTAAGGGATTAACAATTAAGGGTGTTACCGCTGCCCCGCTACTTCTAAGGATTCATTTGCCACATCCGAAAAGTATTTAAGTAAGTAAGTAAAGGGGGGGGGGGGTATTAAGCATTGTTCCACGTCGGCCAATGAGAATGCAAGTATAAAACACGAACTATACAGGTATTTTCCGTGTATAAGATGTATATTATAATTTCGTTGATATATAACAATGGAAGAAGTCATATAATTGCTAATTTCGTTGAATCAGAAACTATATAAAACAATAGTCATATAATTTTATTGGGATATGCGGTGAAACATTTACTATATCACGTGTGGATTCGCAGCTTCACAAAAAGTCGCTTTAATAATGAACCTTGGCGATTTTCTGTGTGAGACAATATGACTCAACGGACGAAGGATTTTGACAACCCTACCGAGACAACAGGAGTCGTAGTGTTCATTGTGAAATTCATCAGAGTGTGTGTGGACATGTGAGGTGATAATAGTCTTGTGTATGAAACGAGGAATAATAGGAAAGGTTAATAATAATCAGATAAAATACAATAAAGAGTAAACAGGAGAGGGGAAGTTACTCAGAGAAGGTAATAAATAATACCACAAAAAATATCAATCCTATTAAAAGGAATTTCTAAAAACAAGGAAAACGCGATTACCAAATTTCCACGAAACCCTTAAACCAATTTACCAATTTACACCAGACATACGTAATGGAATATCCCCCACCTCCCAATTTCAAGGGAAAATATTACAGTAACGAATTTCTCTCGAGGAAAAAATAATAAAAACGACACAATTTATTTCCCAATTAGAAAAAAAATCAGGGTTTATTTCTCACCTGTAACTAATAATCATAGCTACGGCCTAAGTAATATACCAAACACAATCACAGTTCCAACCACGAGACCCAGATTATTATCACTTAGGAGAAGCCTGGAACCCTAAGTGCTGGGAAAGACTCGGAAGCCCCACGGAAGCCTCTGCTGCCTAGGAAACTCACACTTGACTGGATTCAACGTCAACCTCAACCTTGGGTCTACCGGGAATCGGCTTCAGGGAGGGGTGGGGGAGGGGTGAAGGGAGGAGGGGGAGGGGGAAAGGGGGTAGTCTTCTTAAGTAAACTAGATCCAGGAGTATAATGAACAGAGGAATTATAGGATTTGTCCCTATAAGTATAATTAATGACAATTCGTTTTAAGTATAAGTAATAATATGAATTGATTTTTTTTTCAGTAATAGGTAATGACTCAATTTTCTAAGTAAAAGTTATAATAAAATTTGAATTCTGTAGTAAGAATTTAAATAGATTTTCTCTCCCAAAACTAATTATATAAATTGACAAAAAAATATTTAATTGAAGTTTTGGCAAATTTTAGTCAATGTAAACAAGAACGGCATCCAATTTTGTTTAATTATCATTGGAAATTTTGTGTAATGAAATGTAATGTGTTTATCCTAGTTTTATTTCTTACCAATCATTCCATAAACAAATGAAGCAGTTTATTTTATGTCGTTTATATAATTTTTACGTTGTATCAAATATCATCAAAGGAGCTTAAATAAATGCCAACTGAGACTTCAAAATGGCCGGCAAATCAGAACCACAAATGAATAAAGGGAGACTAACCTAACCTAACCTAACCTAACCTAACCTAACCCAACCACACCAAACCCCTAACCTAACTCCCACCTAATCTAACCCCACTAAGATAATGACTCAATCTAATAAATTCCACACAATTTCCCCAAAGAGACCCGAATGCTGACCAGATATTACAGTGGTTACATCTCGCTGGCCTAAAACAACAAGACAATGGTGATAATCAAGATAAAACTGCGGAGACAATCTTCCTGAAGGAGGTGGAATAGGCAGCAGGAGTTATAACTACGGTCGAGGGTAACGTTGCCATACCTCCTCCTCCGGCTCCCCCTTATAAACAACGTAGATGGCAACCTCTTTAGGCAAAGTAGATGGATGGTAACCCCTTAAATAACGTAATTGCAACCCCTTAGATAATGTAGGTCATACCCATTTAAATAACAAGACTTAAACTCCCTTATACAACGCAGCTTCCCATTAGAATCACACACACACCAGCGGCAAAAACAAAACGATAATGACACGAAACCACAAAGACGTGTTCCACAAGCTGAAATAAGCTACAGAAGCCATAACCCCAAGTAAGAATTACAGCGTCGCACTCCATCCCTACACACACACACACACACACACACACACACACACACACACACACACACACACACCAAATCCAAAAAACACAAACACATCTACCGAGAGGAATTGAAACATGGTAGAAGAAACGAAACGAACGAACGAACGAGAGAGA